CGTGTATGAATTAAGGATTCTTTTCTAGGCGACAGTCAGTAAGATATAGCTTATGAGTAGGGTTACAATAAAATTACTGAGTGAAATGGTCAATAGCTTTGTTTTCTTTATATATACTTTTATATCCAGTGATTTTGAGCAGAAAAGCTTAACCAATGAACAGATTTATGATATGATAAATGATTACAAGAAAGAACTGAAAATGCATTCAGATAATTCATTTTCGGTTTCGTTTATTTTGTCTTTACAGCTGTGCAGGTAAATTGTGTTTTGCGCATCCATTTCTGCACCACCATAAAAAGAAGGGGAGTGCGAAATTGGTGCACGTCAACTAAAAGCAATTTATTATGGTAAAACAGGACAAACCAGCCCATCTTGCCTACAGAACACAAAATTTGTTTCATCTTGGGCGCCCACAAAATCAGCCACATAATGATATGACGGCTTTTTTTTTAAAACCAAGCGGCTGTGGATCTCTTTGAATGCGGTGAACGAAACGTATTTCCTGATGATTTCGACCCATTTCCGTTGAAAATCAGATCCTTTTTCTCTGGTGCTTGATTTCGAGAGATGATTAACCCCTATATTCAGTATTACACATAAACTGTCTTACCGAAACATTGTCATATTTCAATGAGAAATTGCATTAATAGTAGTGATAAAATCCCTGTCGTGTACTCGGAGCTGAAGAGCGCGCAGAGTAAACATAAAGAGATGGAAGACTTTGAAGACCCAGAAACTTAATAAGTATGAACCAAAATCTCCAGTCATTTGACACATGAACGTTTAAGTTCTTCTACGACCGTCCACTATCTTGTTCCAGGGAGCACTTGTTTAAGAGGATTGCGCAATCGAATGATCAAATACGAGAATAATCCAGTGGGTTGGCAGGGGGAGGGGTTGGGGGGACGAGAACGAAGAGGTGGGAGGTGGGGTGTGGTGCGGTGAAATTCTGGTACTAAAGCTAAGAAGGACAGGAGGAAAATAAGAGGATTGTGGTTTCGAAAATAATCTTTTTACAATTCTCCTTCTTTCGGTAGTGCCTCTGGTCTGTGCTATTGCGTCGTATACTGCTTTATTTCCATCAGGGCAGCAGATCACAACTGAACAAGGAAAAATTGCGGTGTTTTCTTCGTAGAATTCGGATCCTAACACTTTGCATTTAATTTTGTATGAAAGCAGGGGCTCCTGTAAATGATCATAACTCTCCATTAATTCATCTACGGTATAACAGTTGCTTAAAATAATCTTCTGAGGTGTGTATCGCAGTTGTTTCTACCCCATTTCCTGTGTATGAAACTTGCCTTTTTTGAAGATTAAGTAGCATAATTTGCGAAATTCTATTTAGATACACTGTAGCCATATAGATTCTGATTCGTTATTCTCCGTTTTAGCTGTTGTTCATTATTTTCACATGTATTCCTATCAAGGAAACACTCCCTTGCAGAGAAAACTGTCTATTCTATCACATGTCAGCTGAAATGAATTGATATTGTAGATGCATTTTATATGTTGTTCGCTTTAAGAAATCAAATCTTCTTGTAATTTTCCTTGATTATTTCAATTTGCAGCCTTCACTGTTATTTATTTGGTTTTCCGTCGAGCTGTTTTTTAGTTACTTTGGTTTTAATAAAAAATTATCCCTTCCATCGAAAGAAAAATTTCTTCGTGCGTGTAAATAGTTATTGTCAATAAAACTTGGGAAA